AATCGGGTTTGTGCATGTGCAATAGTTTATTAAATTATTTAAAAAAAAGTAAATATCACAAAATTGTTTTTGACGAACAATAAGATAAATCTGATAAATATTAGGTCATGCACAATGTATGTTTGCAGCGTTGAATTATTGATGTTATGAATATATCAATGTTGAATTAAAGATTATTTTTTGCAGATTCATGCAACTGTAATAATTTAAACAATTATTTTATTCTTTTTTTTACATTTTTCTTTTATTATTTTTTTACCAACGAATACACATTTAACAGCAAAAATCTAGAAATTATAAAATTTTTTTAGTACGTGTACGTAGATATGAAGTTAAAAACCTTTTTGAAATATACATATACACTACTGCATAAAAAGTCAATATATTAGGTCTTTCAATAATATTAGGTCAATAATATTAGGTCTTTCAAAATTATTGCATATTTTTTTCATATTCTTTGAGCAATTTAAGATCGATCTTTTCTTAAAGTTGATTAAATATTTTCTGACATAATTTTGCATAAGTTATTATCTTATAATATTGGATATCTTTATAATGTAAAATTAAAATTCATTAAATTCCATCTCAACCATAATTTAAAATTATAATATATGAAATGTAATACTTTTTTATTTAGAAATTAATTCCTCTCCGTTAGAATTATTATTTTAAATTATTTTAAATTATTTGTTTTTAAATTTATAAATATTACGATCAATTAAAGTAATAAATAAAGTAGCACGTCTTTTTTAACATTTCTATTAAAATGATGACTTTAAAAGATATATTTAAAAAATTAGAGTGCCTTAGACAGTCTTAGGATCATTTTATATATATTTTAATAATTCTCTAATCTAAAATGGTTCTCAGACAGCAGATGTATAATTGAATTTTAATTTGCCTTTGAAGGAAAGAGAAGTATCCTTGCAGAAATAACCGCAGATATTCAGTCGCTAAATGATAACTGAATCGGATTTTCGAATCTCACGATTAAGTTAGTTCCTTCGTCGATTTAGCATTTTCTTTCTTAACGTATTTTTCAAAGAAAAGTTATTTTATATCTGAAAGAGAGAGATACATATCTCTCATGTATTACAGATTAATTATACACGACAATTGATGTCAATGGCACATATAGCTAATAAACACATCGAACGAATTTTATCAGCCCAATATTATTTAACAACATCCATGCCATTTGTTCAACCTTGGCACAAGAAGGATGATTATAAATTTTAACACGGAGCTTATATGCACCACAATTGAAGCAACCCACAATCGCGGTTTACCGCATCCAACCCTTTCTCCCCTTTCCATTCCTCTTGATATTGCTGGCCGATGAATTGGCTTCCGGAGTACGAATGATGCCAGAGCCACGGATACATCGCACTTCAATTTGCATGGAGTAATATTATTTTATCCTCAAATCCGAGGACCAGTTTGCATATGCTTGTGTGCGAACGCATATTAATATCTAGAATAAAGTTGCACAACACTATCGCTATTATCAAATAAAAAGTTTTTGATATGTGGGATATCTATATCTCCAAATTTCTTTTTTCGTTTAAATGTGTATGAAAATAATATAAATAATAAAATATATTATAAAAGGTAATAAATATATATTATTATTATTTTTCACAATTCATGCGTTGTTAATTAATTTATTTTTAAACTTTAATTACACATATACAATTCTCTGATATATAAAATAATTGACAAGCATTTTCACAGATTTTGCGATTTTGATATTTTTCTCTTATTACGCAGGACATCTTATTTTGTATGCCATTTTATGTGTCAAAATCGCAACAGCCGTACATTTTGTTACATACCTTCAAGTGTCTGCTAAAGCTATGTGTAACTGTAACGAAATTATACAATATTATGCATTACGTCGTTCGAAAATTATGATAATGAGACATTTCCCAAGTGAAAACATTTCAAGTGCGCAATTTCAACGTACTTATGCATGAATATATAATGGAATATGGTTTCTTTGACGCGTGTATTGTCGAGAATTCTTGAAAAAAAAAAGAAATCCATAAAGAATTTCATTCTATAAAGAAGAATGATAATGAGGTGTGTATGATAATTACATTAAATTATACAATATATTTTTCGATTCTAATAGACCTCTGAGAAAAAGAAACTTTAATGGACATTGCTATTCTCTCTCTGACAGCTGCATGGCTGTGCTTAATTAATGAATATCCAATGGCGCTAATGTAATTAACGGCATTTGATTAACGGCATTGCGAACAAATACTATCTAAATAACCTCCACGACTGCTTTCGTCTTTCTTGAATTAGCTATATAATTTATTTTGACCAAATGGTTCAATAAATGGACAAGAATACAATCGTATAATCGTATTAAGATTAATTCATTATTTATGCTTTATAACAGTCTTACCTTTTCTGTCTCAACGATCTTACTCTCTCAAATTTTCTCACTTTTCTATGGCAAATCGTCAATTGACAGCTGCAAAATCTAGAATTCTTATTTGAATTATATTGAAAATCGATTTAAAAATATTTTAAATATAATTTGAAGCATATTTGCAGATATTTTTCCTGCCTGAAACGCGGCTTGTATGCATTCATATTATAGCAAATTATTTGTCTTTGAATTTATTCATCTTTCTTTATGTTCCGTTCTCTATTTACAGTATATTTGAAATATATTTTTCCATGATTTGCATACAAAGTAGACGCGCGAGAAAGGAGAAATAGAGACGTGTCATTGCTATCAACTGGGTCGCAGGTGACGAGTTTGGCCGCGTTTCAGGTGAGCGAGTACTGTCCTTGGACAAAGTGCTCGTATATATAACCCCTTCGAGAATCCTTTACATCCGTGAATAAAGTGTTCCCATGATTCCATACGAAGATCACGTGTGGCAATATACGCTTGTTTATTTTATGCATATTGAAGTCTATTTTGCACGAATTGACAGAGATCAATGCAGAAAATATGTTTCCAAATTGAATTAAAATAAGATGAGAGATATATTAAACGCGATTGCCGTTCATTGAGTGTTATCTCAAGCATGAAAGTTTTTGTAGGAGTTTAAATCTTCGTAGAGAAACGAGATTAACTGCGACAGAGAATTATGCAAACATGTAATTCAACGTATCAAAGCAACATACAATTCTCAAACCAGAGTTCGCAGCGCAAGCAAGTCAAATTCGCGAGAGACAATTTTGGAGATCGTAACAGATTAAGCTTTAAGCTTGATCGGCCGACTAGAACTTCCTATTCAAATACTGTTATTGAGCTACAAGCGCAGTTACGATCGTTGTAGTAACATATAGCGCGAAGCTGTTGCTAAAGTTTTAGTAAATAATAAGTTTAGTAAATTGAGATTAATATTTGATCTTCTCAAAGTTATTTCCGATATTAGAAGACAGATTTGACTATGTGATAATCCGTCTTACACAATATATCTATTTTACACACGCGATAAGCAACATTTAAAATGCTCATAATCTGCCACATTGACATACAACCATAACTTTTATTAAGATTTAGTTTACAATTAGTTATCTTAGTTTTTTATATTATTAATTACATATATACTTACTCTCTTTTTTATATTATCTTAAAAAATGACATGATCTTTAGAATCGAAAATTTTATTTACGTTTTAAACATAAAGAGACAGTGTTTAGTATGCAACTATTAAATAAACTAAAGTTTGAATTAAAGTGATGAAAAAATGTTTACCGATTACTTCTCAATATTAATTAATTTTAAGTATTATCTATCATTTTTTACAACTTTGTGGAAATTTATTACGTATTCAACGTACAGTTGACGTCAGTAAACATCATAAATTTTATAGAACACTTTCATAGAGCACTTTTTTTCTACCCAGTTATTTGTATGTATACCAAGTGTATACGTATCTCTCTTTTCTATTATAAGATATTTCTATTTAATAACTTCAATAAAGAGATGTCAAATTATAAGTGATAATTATAAGAGTATATATGTATATCTCTTCGTTAATGTGTGTTATTAATATACGTGTGTAATAGATCTTTGTGAAGATATTATCTTTTATAACTATAATACATCACTATATTACGAAAATATAGATAATGTACATATGTGTATTATTAATAAAATATTTTTAGCAATGAAAAGAAATAAAATATACAAACATGATGTTTATAAGTACATTTATTAATATGCATTTTGTAAAATAGAATGCGATCATTTATTTGTTTATCAGCCATCCCGTTATTAAAATCAGAATTTACATTTGAATTTTAATGAAAGTCGATAATTTAAATGTAAATTAAACTGCATATTTTACGCTCTTGCAGTTTGATAGAAACGCTTGCATTTACACATATCGCTACTTATGCGATACGCATTTTCCATATGAAAAATATTGCGTGTGTTATAATAAGACATTTTTCATGTAATATGTATGAACAATTGTCAAAAAATGAGAGATAATTGCATGTCATAAAAAGTTATATGATATATTATTTTCTTAAAAAGTATATAACTTTTTATTTAATGTACTCACTGTGTATGCAAAATAATTTTTTTGCACGTTGTATATACGATATGACATACAACTTGGAAAAAAACAATGTTTTTTTATCGATAACGAGATTCGAGATTCATATTTAGATCACGTTCTGAATAAAAGACTGAATCAGCAATCAAAATTTGATTGTTTGCTTCCTTTTTTCACAATGGGAATCATCATTTTATTTATGAAATAGCATAGCTAAAAAGTAAACTATATAACTAACGAATTCAAAACTCTTTTTACAAGTGAAACATATTTGTACATGACAAAAATATTCCTCATTATCATAATAACTATTATAATAAAAAGGTGACGTAATTCATCAAATATGGAAAGTAGATTTCTAGTGTACGTTTCTCTGGTAATTGCAAATTTACTATGTGTTTTGCTACATGAAAGATAGTGACGTTCGTAGTTTAATTTGCAATTTTGCTTTGCGACCTGTTTCAGGCACTCTTACAAGCGCACGATGTTGCCGGCCACGAGGTCTACGGCGAGGAAGCCACCAGAGTAACACCACCACCGCTTCTCACGTATTTGAATGGTGGCGATGACCTCGAAGGACAAAACGGCGATTTAGACGAGAAAATCACTCGCGTCAGACTAGTGCAGTTTCAGAAGAACACGGATGAGCCGATGGTGAGTGGCACTTCAAAGCACCTGTAATTGCGGAAACGTGCCTTTTCGACAGTAGGAGACGACGTTTTAAACCGGCATTGAATTTTATAACACTATATAAAATTTACTTACAATCTCTTCTTCTCTCTCTTTTTTTCTTTCTTTGTGTATGTGTGTGTGTGTGTGTGTGTGTGTGTGTGTGTGTGTATCTATAGCATGATTTTTATGTGAAACGAAATCAATACATATATACACACACACACACATACATACATGTAATATGTACTTATTAAAGAAAAGCGTATTTATTTAAATATATCTTTTCAGCGAAAATACAAGAATAAAATATACATACTTTGGGAAACATTGAAATAAAATGTGTCATATTAAAAGATTTATGTCGCAAATATTATTTCATATTATATAAGACAAATAAAGGAAAAACAATAGAGTATTCACAATATCTCATATTTTAAACACGAAAAGTACTAAACTTTTATGTGCGATATAAAACAACTGGATTTTATCATGAAAATTTTAATTTTAAATTTGTAATCATTTATTACATGTGCGGCTTAATGCAGTATTAATATTCAGAAACACGTTATCGCAAAAAAATTTGAAATATCTGATTATCGCTAACGTGCTCTGCATTCATCATTTTTAATTTATTTCGCTTCTAATTTATTTCGTTTTGTCACTTTTTAGGGAATTACATTAAAAATGAACGAAGACGGACAATGTTTTGTTGCGCGAATTATGCATGGTGGGATGATCCATAGACAAGCCACTCTTCACGTTGGTGACGAGATCAGAGAGATCAATGGTATACCAGTTCAGAATCAATCCGTTAATGCCTTGCAAAAGATTCTGGTAAGTATCATCATAAAATTATCTCCTCAATCACGCGAATGGAATTTAAAAAAATATAAAACTCTTTTCTATAAATTATAAAAATAATTATTCCTTTGAAAGAAGACATAACTGATACAAATTTTAATTGTAAGCTTAGTAAAAGTTACATTTTGAACATATCATTTATTATAAAATATATTGACTTTTTTCTTTATCCGCTAACATAAAGTAAATCTCAAGATTCTACTCATTTTTTTCATATAAAAGATTCATTTTGCTTTCTCATAGATATAATATCTAAAGAATCGATCTCTTTCGACTGTTACAGCGGGAGGCACGAGGATCTGTAACTTTCAAGATCGTGCCGTCGTACAGGAGTGCGCCGCCCCCCTGCGAGGTACAAGTAAGACCCAACACCCAAACCCATTCCCAAAACACTATCGCGTCTAGTAAGCCCGCATCATCCGCAACCTCCATGGGCGTTAGCTCTGGAGGTGGTGCGAACAAATCCGGGAAACCGGTGAAAACCTCTGCAGCTACCACGAGCAAAGAGAAGACGTCTAAGGCGTCGAAATCTTCCAAATCTAAGAGCGCTTCCTCGTCTACCGAGAGCACGCCTAGACGTCGCTTAAACCCACTATCGGCCCTACGATCGCGAAAGTCTTAAAACGTTCGATTTTTTAGCTTACCTGATTAGATCGCGCATTCAGAATCGCCAAAAATACATCCGTTTTTAGACATAATTGTGATGGATTTTCGGGGATAAATTTATGCCTTCTTCCAATGACACTATTGAATTTATCGAACAAAGTTGATTTACGAACCTGAGCCTTATAGAGTAGGTAGCTTGTAGATTTAACAAATAATTATGCATGTAGATAATTAGGCTTTTTTCCAATACGCTTTTTTAGTGAATATATTAATTATATAATAATTTCATAAATTTCTGTATTATTATTGTGATATTTTAAAATTATTCAAATGACTTCAATGATAAATATGCAATGATAAGTATTACAAGTTTAATTTATACATTTAAAGTAAATATTTAATCCAAATATTTATTTATTTATTTATTTATTTATGTTTATTATTTATTAACTTAGTTTGTGAGCGATTATTTATACAAGCAAATTTTTAATTTTATTTCGTGTAAATACTATTTATATAAATTGATAAATAAATTATTAACAAATTATAATTCTTCAAATATATCCACTATAAAATCAAACTTAGTTAAGCATTAATATTATGTTTTGCATGTTATTATTGATTACAACCTGGGGACATGTTTCGAAGCGTGATCTATCAATCGCTTAAATAGTTTGTCTTAGTTTCTCTTATGATCTTCTGATCTAACAAGAGAAACTTTAGAAGTCCTGATAGAGCTTATAATAATAAACAACTAATAATTTCCGCTACATTATATATGCAAATTATTACAGGTAATTATACATAAAGGAAAATTCAAGAACCTAATTCAATTAGATGATTCAAACTTCACACGACTAGCTTTTGTAATGAAATATTGCTTCATATTTCGCTTGATAGTTCATTCAAGTTAGATTCGTATTCTACGTAATACAAAATACTTCGAAGAACCTACGCAAAGTGCGAGAAGTCTCTGCCTATTATCCGTTCCGCGATTAGGAAAGTTTTGAGTCCGATAACGAACAGAGGAATATGCGATTAGTTTCTCAATAGTTTGTAGTTTGTATAGTTTCCTGCGTAATTCCATCCAAGATAGACCACAGAGTTTACAAGAAATTTGCGGGAGGAGACAGTTAACAGTGTCCATTTTAGATAACCATATATGAAATTTGCTATTAGAGAAAAAATTTTCGATCTATGTAATTGGTAATAATAAAAAATAATGTATCAACACAGATGTTTATATGGAAGATTTAGAATTATTTTAGAAGCTCTCATTAATAAATTTGTGATTTTTCTTTTACCAGAATTAATCAAAATTCATGTGAACTTTGTATAAGTAACATAATAATATTACAAAGAATAATTAAGTGAAATATATTCTCTCGATATGGTTTATTATATGTATTCGTAAAATATATTCTTGACATGTCTTAATATACAGTCATATACAATATTATTCCTAATTAATATATAACACATATATAAAATGAGCCTAAAAATAAGAATATTAATTAATATTCTTTGATTTTAATATCAATTTTTAATAATTAGATTTAATAGTTACATTAATAGATACATTTAATTCTTATATTACTATACAAATACTTTTATTACATTATATCTTCGCACAGAACAAAAGTATATCAGTAAAATATGTATAATTTTGATGCGTGTGTCAAAATTCTTTTAAATTTTTAAGCATATAACAGGAATATTCACTTGTCTCTGTCCTAAGTTATCTCGGAAATCTGAGGTAAAACTTAGGACATAGTTTCACTATTAATCTTCGTTAACAATGATGGTAGGAACGAAAACTGATATCCGGCGGTTTATGTGCGCCAGGTTACGCGTAATATTCTCGAATAGTTGGATATATTCGGCGACAAATTTTGCTATAGTTCAACGGTCAGGTATATTTAAAGTTTCAGTAATTTGTGCACGAGTTCTATCTAAAGGAGTAAGTTCTTGAAGAATGAAACGTTAAATTCTTAGAGTAAACGAGAACTTTCCTTTCTGTAATTTATGAATGTTTGCATTTTGAACAATTACTATGACTCTGAATACATATAAATATAACAGAATTTATAAATTTTTATTTTTCTTTCTTTTTGGATCATAGTACAGTTATTGAACGCAGTAACTTCATTTCATAACAGCTTTCACAACGTCAACAAATTGGTTTTGATAGAACAATTTTACATTTTACAACACAATCAAGCGAAAACGGATAAAAAGGTTATAAACTGGTTTGTTTACAGTGGAACTAATTTAAACGACACTTTTTCAAAAATTCGTTTGTCGACTGACAGTTTCAAAAATTTAAAAATGAATGGTTGTTCAGTATTTGATGATTTTTATTATACTCAAATTTTATTTGTTTATACTTGTGTATTAAAAATACAATTTCATTTTTCATATGTAATTATATATACAGGGTTACAAAAAATTAAATATTTTGAGAATGTACATTTAAATAAAATAGATCAAAATAAAAAAGAAAATTTAATTCGTTTTTATAACATCCTGTATATAAAATAATATATTAAAATTTTATGTTAAAACATTTTATATTAAAATATTTTATAACTAAAAAATTTATACAGGATTTTTTATTTTAATTATTTTTTTATTATTTTTATGTTAAGTTATTACTTAGAAGTAATAAATTATTTTTATTTTCAAACTATTATATTTTTATTTTCAAATATACTATATATTAAATAATTTATTTAAATTATCTGAAAATAGACATATTAATATAAAAATAAATATGTAATAAGACTATTTCTCTACTTAATAATGTTTAATATCCTCAGAAAACAATGAGATTTTTAACAAATTTTTATGTTAATATTGATTTATAAATCGAATAAAAAAACAATTCTTTATGATATTTTCCGAAATTTTTAAAATAAAAATATAAATATTAAATCTCTTCAGAACTAGTTTATATGTATTTAATATGAGATTTGCACTTGATAATTTATAAAATAATAATATGCCTTAGAGATTTATTATGAGATTATTATTTTAAACGTTCATTCAATCAGCAAATTTTTCACTCAAGCTGTTTTTATAAAACTGGCAATTACTGGAAATGTTTAAACAGGTACTTTGCTTGTTATCACGTTCCATTAATTACTTCAAAATAGGATTCCAAGCAATAGCGCAAAATGTGCGTAATTGGCAATACTGGAAGTAAAATCGGAATCACAGTGTGTAACAATTTTGATGTTAAATCAACGTAATCGTATTAAGCCAAATCATTGCACAAATTATGGTCCATTCTTTAAGAATTATACGGTACATTAAAATAATGCGTAAAATGCTGTTCAATGTGATCAATATTTGCAGAGGTTTTCACCAGAGTTATACCCGTATGAGAGACACATATATATGCATAACAATATATAAAATAATATTCTTTTTAATCAATTCTTTACTATTTTATAAAAGAAGACTTTAGATATAACTAATACTGCTTGACGTATCGAGAAATACTAATTAATTACACTTACTTGCAATGATCGTCTTTATAGCGGAAAATATTATTTTCTATTCTTTTACACATATATCTTGCCGTCTTTCTCAGTACGCAAGCAGTGCTACATAAGACAAAGATTTCTTTCAGCATAACGCCAAATCTAATAAAATTAAATTGAGAGAACAGTTTTTTCCCGGATCAGGATTTTATTAGGTACAGCTGCTTTTATGTTGTTGCAAATTTAATTTTAAACACAGTACGCGTGAAATGAGTGCTTCTTCAATCGATCTGCGAGATTGATGAGACACTTGACTACTTGAAACTAAATGATTTTATGTTTGCAATATTTGCAATGTCCTTGCAATATTTTCATAGCTAACAATTCTGCGTGTCGAGAGTTCGTGTCTCGAGCACGTTGTACATAATTTAATTTCATGAACTTGTCAAAGGTCCGTACAATATGCAGTTACATGTACAGCTCTTTAAATGGATGTACAATACACCCTTCTTCGCGTGTTCACATGTACAAAGAATGTTCGCCTTCAAATTGCTTATCCCAAATTGCATTACGATGTAGATAATGGACGTCCTACGATTGTTGCAATTGTACGGCAACAGGACATACGCTCTAATCTCGCATGGTATATAATATTCTCTTTCTTCTAGGATTATATAGAACTTGCAACACGCAAGCGTCACATATAAGAGTGCTCTGAAATTGACGATACACTTAATAAGAAAAGATCATCATCAAAAAAATTATAAAAATTTAACATTTTATAAGGAAACAACGTACGAATGTAATTGTATATTTAATCTAATTGTCATTTAATTGCAATGCGTTTTTCTAACGATATAGTTTCGAGAAATCTAAATTTTGCCAATTGTAACGTCAATCTTACGGCACTCCGCATATATGTTTGATATAGTTGATTGTCCCTGCACTGACCCGTACTCAAAGTTCACATTAATGTCATGGACATTAATTCTGTAATGAGATAAAGCGTAACTGGTGACCTGTTCTGATACTATTAACGTAAGAAGATGACGCTCGCTCAACTGAGATTACTCGGATTAATATTGCAAGTGTTGAAGCTGTTAGAATTGGACATGACATCGTCGACTAACGTGAATTTTGTGAATTATGGGCCAGTGTGATGTTAACATCTCGCCCTATATTGCGAGACCCAATTAAATGAATAATTAATGGAATAATTAATGGGACGATATTGTTAGAAAATAATTTATGTGATATCCACATACAC